GTGCCTCTGAGGTGGTGGCCCAAGGCGGTGCTGTTTGCATTGTTGGGGATAAACATGTGGTCCTTAGGCTCGTAGTGAACATAAAACACTTGCTGTTGGCTTCTTAATTCTGAAGGTGAGAACATTGTTGCTCTCCTCACCCCTGTCAGCTAGAATCTACCCTATCAAATCTCCAACCCAAAGCATAGCAGCTGCTCACATTCTGACCAGGTCTTTACCCCAGTTCTGAACTTGAGTTTCCCACTTGGCCAACACAAGCGTTTGCTGCCTCCACACTTCTCCAGCCCCACTCAGGCCTTGGAGCGTGGTGGATACTGCCCCCACCTCCTGGTCAGTGGCTGCTGCCAGCCCTGAGGGGGCAGGTACCGGGCCTCTCTGGCCGCTCTGAGCAGCACAGGCACCTGGGAGAGGGTGCTGGTCTCCCCCAGGGATTCACGGTGCCCAGCATGCAGGGCAGCCAGGGCGGGAGGCACCTGGCAGTGTGCTCCTCCTGGAGCTCAGTGTCTGCGCCCTGCCACACCCCAGAGCGGGTGCTGTCAGCACAAACTCCCCAGAACCCTGCACAGTGATCTCTTCCCCACTTGGGCAGTGCATCACGGGCATGTCCGTTCCCTCCCACAACACGCAGTCCCTGCTCCCTGCCCGGTGTCCCCGCTCGGGGTGAAGTAGTAACATTAGTGATTCCCCAAGGAGGTATTTCATTAACAAACCCAGATTTCAAGAAACTGCTCAAAAGCATTTCTTTTTTCCATCCCATCTCTGGGTTGACTGATTACGAGGGTAAAAACTGGATGATTCTTACTTTTTAATTCTTTTAACCCAGATTACATTTCTTTCCTGACAAGCATCACCTGCAGATTCTTCAGTTTCTTGGGATGGTTTGTTTGGGGTACCTTGGCCCCCCCCCCCGTTGCTCCGCTAGTTCTGAAGACCTGTAAACAAGATGTGTCCTCTATTAGAACCCACCTGCAGGTGCACAGGGGACTCCACACGTGCAGGCGCTGATCTGGACAGACGGCCCAAGGTGTGACTGTGTTGTAGGCTAGAACACATATTTTCCTTAATAAGGAAAGAGTCTTTCTTTATTCCTTAACAAGGAAAGACTGAAAATGCTTCCTGGGGGCACCGTGTGTGTTGACGTCACCCTCTGAACTTCGGGTCACCACAGCCACCCCCACACCCCGAGGCCCCTGTGTGCCAGGCACCTGCTCACAGCCTTGTGGGTGTGGCCATGGGTGAGCCCCCCAGCGCCCTGGAGAGGGCACAGCACAGGTCAGACCCTGCTCTGCCATTTGGCAAGTGGCAGAGATGAGGCAGAGACCTGCAGTAACAGTGAGAGGAACTAGTAGCCCTGCGTACCAGCCATTTTTCTTCCTCCCGCTTTTATTTTTGAGCCAGATTTTGGGTAAAAGTGACTCGTGACATCCTAGTCCAAAAGTGGAGCCAGACGTAGTTTTCTGCTAAGTTGTTAAGTTCACATTTACCTGGGTTCTTGGTACAGTTGAGCTTTTTCTTCTTATAGAATTAACGACCCATTGTTCTGGCCAAAGAGGAGTTTCTAGATCTTACTTCAGACTATTGTGTTCAGACTATCATGTTAACCTTCAGACTTGACCTTGAATTTTCCAAACCAAAGCTGATTCTTCTTCCACCTCAGGCAAAATTTTCAAGATTATTTATTACAGAGTTTTGAAAAAGAATTTAATGGTATGAAATGAAAATAAGCTTCAATTTTGCTCTGTGATACTGATCTTTCACCACCTAGTTAGGTGAATAAAGTGAAGGTGAACATAGAAGGATAATACTGTGCTTTTTAAAATGACATTTCAAAAATTATAAGACAAATACTTAGAAACTTTTGAAAATAAAGTCACCTGTCAGAATTGCTTACTGTTGACAGTTTGGAATGTTTTAAATGTGTGTCCTTGAAGATGATCAAACCTTCTAACTTGCCCCTTTGGGTGCAGAGCCTGTCTTGAACCACAGGTTGGAAGGTGTGGACCCCCTCCAGCAGGAATGTGGAGTTCAGTAGAACAGAACTACCATTTGTGTCTATCAATTTCAAATAATTTGATGTTGGAAATTGAAGAATTTCCAAAAATTCCTCAACCCCAGGTAAAGGAATCGGTCATTCATGATACCGCAGCAGGACGTAGAGCACCACCTTTGTGTCTAAGTGGATTCGATGGTAGGGAGTCTCGTAATTCAGAAAAATATTCTTGCAATTTTTTGGTAGAGGACCTTGGACACAGGAGTCTGTTCTTACAAATATTTAAGATTCTTTCCATGGCAGTTAAGGCTAAATGTATTCTGTGGTATCTAAAACGATGTTTAGCATTTTAAAAATCCTAAGACCTGCATTCTGGTGTGCATTGTCCGTGTTGACAGGGTTTTCTGTGGCAGGGAGCTTCTGACATCAGTGCCCTTGCACACCCACCGCCACACGCGGTGCATAGCAGCCGGCCTCAAGCACCACTGACTTCTGCCTCCCCAGGAGCGCACAGCTGCAGAGCCACGGCCCACGCCTGGGTTCTCCGTGCAGACTTCACGCATGTGGTATTAAGGCTGACCCACACAGGATAGGGCATGGAGCCGTGGGTGCACACTCTGAACAGCCTCGAGTGTAGACGGGCTACATGCTTATGCACTTGCTTGAAATCACATCTCCCCACAGATTTACTTTGGTAGGATCTGTGTTTACATTAATATGAAGTAGATATGATTTATGTTTTGCTGTAGCTGACAGATTTAATAAAAACAAATGTTTAATGGCAGTTTGTGGTACTTTTTAATCTATTCACTAAATTATGAGTTAATGATTTTTGTGAAGTGTCTGCAGTGATCATATCAAAGATGATATGAACCTTTGAACCTATGAACTTTGAACCTCCCTAGAAGCACAATAGTTTATTCCAAATGAGCAGTCTATCCTGAAGGGTTAGCTCCTTTCACAGGTTCATCACCAAGGGGCCATTTATTGGAAGCTGCATTCTCTAATTCGATGGCCTGATGAGCCCGCAACGGCCACGGCCTATTTGCCGGCCCCATGGCCTGTGGAACCCGTTCCCAACGCTTCAGTGGGGACCACCTCCTCGAGCTGCACCTTCTGCACTTTAACATAAAGTCAAGTTGGCAGCCAATTTTTGGGAAACTGTCCACTATTAACTTGCAGGACTGCCCGTCCTCAAGGGAGGCACTATGTGGGGCACTGGGGAACAGTGAACTTAGCTTATTTTCATAACCAGTAAGTGTAAACATCGGGTTGCATGCTTTGAATGGTACAATTGAAAAATATCTGTTGCTAGTAGCTTCTGGACTTTTTTCTGAATTCTCCATGTGTAAAAATACCTCACTGCACAATTCTGGGCCTATTCAGGACAAAAAGGGGTTTGGAGTATGAGTTGTAAGTAGCTCATCTTTGGAAACCCACCCCTTCCCCATGTAGGGAGTCCTCCACACTGCAGGGACCAGCAGAGCCCTGGGCTCCTGCACTCCATGTGGGGCAGGGGAGACAAAGGAATTCCATGTGATTTTAAGGTTGCTTAGCATAAATGTATAATAAAAGCAAATTCTAATAAACTGGTTGTTAATGATTTCATACTCTTAACGTCCAGGTTTTCACTGTCGGTGGGTGTCTGCTCATGCTTTCACCCTGCGCAGTGGTGAGAAATCCCGCAGGAAAGCTCTCGTAGCACTGCTAGCGCACCCCCAGAAGCCCCTGGGCGGGACCCCTGACCGCACACTGCAGCCTTCCAGAGCTCCAGATTTGTCAATGTGAAAACAAGGACCCTCCCTGCAGCCCACTGGCCACGCTGTGGGGTCGCTGGCGCCGGTGCCCATGCCCGCCCAGTGAGCCGGTGCTCGGCACAGCGGTGTCCTCCGGGAAACTCCGCCGCACTAACCTGCCTGCATGCGTACATGCTTTAGGCCAAATAAGCCAAGTGTGGGTTTTCCAAACCATCACTGTAGGCGACTGTGTTTGAAGTCTGACTAAGGGTGTAAGACGATCGGGCTCTGAAGCCAGTGGTGGGTGGAGGGGAGGTGCCAGGGGTCCCAGTCCAGGTACTTCTGTGCCAGCACTATGCACGCTCGCTCAGTCGCGGTCAGAAACTGTGGTAGTTGCAGTGTTAGAACGGCTCTGCGTTTGTAAACCTAAGGTAAATTTCTATTATAGGTAGCTTCTAAGGTAGTTAATTTCTTGGATAAAATTCTGCTATAAAGATATCTTTAAAACTTGGCATTGAACAATTACTGATTTCCAATAGAAAAGCATAGACTTAGCTCTTGATAATTCCTTTAGTACAAAGCATGTAACGGAGTACGCCTCATCAGCAGCCGCCTTAAAACTAGGCCAAAATTTGGACTTCCTGCCTAGTCAAAAGCAAACTTTAAGGAGAAAAACAGTATTGGTTTTGTGGTATAATTCTAGAAAACCAATACAAAATCCTTATTCATTAAAAATTCAAAGTAGATAACAGTATGGTAACTTTACATGATCCTGTTTTTTTTGTTTGTTTGTTTGTTTGTTTTTTAATGAGTGACGAGTGTGTCCTTAAATCACACTTCTGTTTTTCAGATATGTTAGCCCTGCTTTGACCCCTCAGGTCTAGCTTCCGCAATCTGCCTTTCACTGAATGTGCAGGGAAAGTGCCCCTGTCTGATCACGCCTTCTGCTTTGCACGCTTTGTGCTGCTTATTTTTATCACGGTTGCGTCTTGTGTAGAGCAAAGGAAAACCCCTAGACACACGGAGCCTTGGGTGTCCAAACCGCCTGTGGTTGGTCTCTGAAATTGGATTGGCCAGCCGCCAACCTGTTTTCATCTTACTGTATGTCACATCGAGAATTTCATGTGATGGAGGCTTTGTTTACACACCTCCCAGAAGACGCCTGGTCGTAGCATTAGGCTAATGTTGGCTAAAGCGCGGTAAGGATTGGTGTCTGGCCAGCGTGACGGCCCTTTCTCATTTCTTGCTCCATCCCCCGCCCCGTTCAATTCCAGGCCTTTCCATGGAGAGTCCTCAGCCTTCTCCCTCCACCCGGAAGAGCCCACTGAGCCTGAGCCCTGCGTCTCAGGTGACTCTGGGCCCAGCTGGGCAGGGCTTGTGCCCCCTCCTGAGCCCTGCCCTTAGCGACGCTGGCGGAGCCAGGACGGACAGCGAGGAGGAGCTGAAGCACAAGGTGGGCACTGCCCCAGCAGACGGGTTTGCTGCTGCTGGGCCTGGTGTGCAGGGGTACCTGAGCAGGCAGGGCAGGCTCTGCGCGGGGTGTGCTGGCTCCACCAGTGTAACCTGTCCTGAGAGCCGCACCTCACCTGGGACTTCTCAGCTCCCTTCCTTATTCATTTAATGGCAGTTCCTGGCACCTATGGGTTCAAGTGGGGATGTGGGGGGAATGGCCGGGCCTTGGGGGAGCCCTCAGCCTCCTGCCTCCCTCCCTTGTTGGGCAAGGGACAATCTTCTTGAACAATCAGGTATTTGGGAGGAGAAGGCTTGGGTGCTAAGGGAGGGTGACCAGGGACCCCATCTTGTTGGGCTCATGGGTGAGTGGGTTCTGAAAGAGGGTGCGGGTTGGGTGGGGGGGTCCACACTGGGGAGTGTAGGAGCAGGGCAGGAGGATGTGTGAGGTGTGTGTGATTGTGGTAGAAGGTTGAGGCGATGCCCACAGGTTTCTCTTTGCTGTCAGGGATAGGAGTGAGGGCACACACGGGGAGGCTGGCAGGTAGGAGTGCCCGAGCTCGAGGAAGAGGTGTTGGCCAGAGGCAGTGGCGCCCACCGCGTGGTTGTCCCCATTCTCTTGGCCCGTGCCTCCTGCCTGAGTGGTGGCCACACAGATAAGGCAGCCCGGGGAAGGCAGCTCGGTGGGAGGGCACACAAGAAAGGGCAAAGGGGCCAGGCATTTGGAGGTTTGGGAAAGAGAGTGGTTGAAATACTGGGCTGTGGACTGTGGCAACCCAGGGGGCTTCTGTCCCCCTGCACGGAAGCGATGGGGGGGTCCCTGAGGAGCAAGATGGCCACAGTGGGTGGGACCCCACCTCACAGGCTCCTCATGACAGAGAATGCCCTGTCATGCCGTGGGTTTCATCCTGAAGTGGCCAAAGAGAGTGAGTCAAGCCAAGGGCCACTGTGTGTGGGACACGTGAGCTTCCCTGAGAGGTGGGGTCAACCATGGGAGGACTGGTGAGCCCTCTGAGCACACACTCCTTCCTGGGCCCCACTTCAGAGAGAGCAGACCCTGAGCCAGAAGGCATGCTGTCATGTGAGGTGGCCCAGCGAGGGCGGGGGTCCCAGGACCCCGGCTCCACGTGCAGGGCCTGCAGCCCTCACCCCTCAGGCCTCCAGCCTCATTGAGCTGGCTGGCAGAGGTGGTCCCTTGGACCCTATATTTGGCAGCAAGACAATTGGGTTGAGGCTGTTTTTATTTATTTACTTTGGAAACCTAATGACCATCTATTTAGCTCACTGTTACTTTAGTGCAAAAACAAAATGGTTAGAAAGCTGTATAAAAAACTAAATTTTAACTTGTACTTTACTACGAGAAATAGTCCTTTAGGTGGTTCTGTAGGGTAATGACTTGAAACACCAGAGGGTCACCAACCAGGGTCATGGTGGATGGCCGTGGCATTCACATCCAGACCAGGCCTCAGAGAAGGAGCCTGGGGGCTGCACCACAGGCACCTCACCGAGCCGTGGCTGGGCCCGGCGCACACAGGGATCCCAGGCTCACCGCCCGCCCCCCCCTCCCCCATATAGCTCCCCCTGCCTCCTCCTCTCGCCGACAGCACTGCTTCATAATTTCCAGCCCCTCGTGCCGCCTGCCTGCCTGCCTGGGGCTGCACAGCAAAGGCAGCGGTGGGCGCAGGTGGGCTCCCAGACGGCCGGGGCGGCCTTTGCCCCAGCACTGCCCCACGCAGCCCACAAGCCAGCACTGAGACCCATGGGCTTCAAGGCCGGTGAGCCGGCTGCGCTCCGTGCTGGCTGCAAGCTGGGCCGCGGGTGCACAAGGACTCCCTGCAGCTCGGGGAGCTCAGCACTGTGGGCCTTCTGAGCCTGCGTCTGGTTCCTCAGCTGTGTGCCGACCCCTAGTCGGGAGCACCTGTGCCCATTTGTTTCCTGGTGTCCCTCCTCACCAGTGTGTCCTATTTAACGTGCTGCTTCTCCCCCCGATTTCCAATAGAAACCAATGAGGACCAATGGTATTCGGAAGGTCTGAAGGCGGAGGTGCCGCCTGCTCAGGGCTCTCGGGCTGCCTTCCGCGGGGAAAGTCGACCCTGCTCCTTGGCTGGTGCCGACCCAGCACCGCTGACCTGCCGCCCAGCTGGCCGGCCATGTGGCTCCCAGGGAACAGCAGTTGGGTTTCTGCTCTCCTGGGAGGTTCTCTAATAAGAGGTTTTCTCTGCACTGGAAACCAGCAGGCCCGCCCTGGATACACAGGCCGTCCATGAGCGCTCCTGACCACCGCATTCCTTGTGTCCCTTGTCACTGACTGGTGGCCCCTGGGATGTGATTGTGAGCTCATCAGTGACACTGCCATGGCTGTGTTTGAGTGCTTCTCTCTGGGCACCTCACCCCCCACAGGAGAGGAGTGGGTCTAGAACCTCAGGGTGACCCTGTTTCTGCAGGATACACTCAGGGCTGAGGCGCTGCTTGGGACCCCACGCCGAGGGGACTGCGGCTAGGAAGCCGGCTGGCTGGCATGGATGCCCCGCCCAGAGCCCCAGGCCAACGGTGTGCCCTGATGCACAGATCAGGGACACGTGGCTGCATGGGGGCCCAGAGCCTCCAGACCATGAATGTGGGCCTCTTGGGGCCGGCTCTGACCCCAGAGAGCTTGCTGGGGACATCAAGCTCCAGTAGAGATGTGACATTTTAAAGAGATTTGACTGAATTAGGATTTGAAAGAGTCATGTTTTAATAGTAAAAGCCTAAATAGAAAGAATTGGAGAGCAGGAAGGTTGCTGCTCTGTGGGGAGAGGACTGGAGCTCCAAGGATCAGGGGTGGACACTCCAAGATGCTGTCGGGACCCCAGGTTCATGAGACCACAGAGCAGGCCTTGGCTGCTAGGACAGAGCGGCTATTGATTATTTGGGAAGAGTGGGTCACGTGGAATATTCCTGGTGGGGTGGACGGGACATGGCCATAGCTGTGGTCTCCAGGACCACGCCTGTGTCATCACTGCGAGAACACTGCAACCTCTGGTAAACTTCTCCTGGGGGCAGGGGACACAGGGAAGAGGTGGCCCCCCAAATACCAGCCTCCAGCCCAGCCTCCCCTGTCAGCTTCTAGCTGGCATCGAAAGTCCATCCCAGACTCATGCAAACCTGACCCCTGACCTTCCTCCCCAAACCTATTACCTTGGGGACAGCAGCTTTTTCCCTTGGTTTGGACGCCAAAACACAGTCCACCCTTGCCTTTGGACCTCCACCCACACCAAAACTTGACCTTGACACTGTGTTTGGGGTCCTGCTGTTCCCTCCCCGGCTGTGGAGCCGGGATGGTGCAGAGGCCTCTTCTGCTGAACCCCAGCCCCTCATGCTGCTCTCTGTGCTGCAGCCAGCCTCATCCTGGGGACCCAGCGCACGTGGATGTGCTCTGGTCCTCCCCAGAGGACCTCCCTGCCTTTCCCACCAGTAACCAGCTCACTTATCTCTTGCTCCTCCCCTCATCCTTGACCTGCAGCCTGTCTCCCACCACCGGGCCGCCCTGTCTCCTCTGCTAGACGCTGTGGCTACCCCACGCCTCTGGGCCTCCACTCCAGCCCCTTCTGCTTTTACTTTCATAACTGTCAGCTGCAGGGCAGGGACCTCTATTCCTGGGCATGTCCCAGGTGCCTGTTTGGGGCTGGCACGTGCTCTGTGGATGTTTGCATTGTGGCCTCAGGGACAGGCAGCCCTAAGGTCCTCGGCCTGGTGAAGGAGCTACAGCGGAGCATATGCCAGGGATAGAACAGGCCAGGTGCAAAAGGTCAGAGGAGGGGCCTTTGAACTGGACCTTGACAGAGGCAGCTCCCTGAGGTGCTCAGGATGTAGAAGGGCCCTGTGGGGCCAAGACACAGTCCTGCCCAGGTGCAGCATGAGGCCTGTCCACTGCTGGAATGCCAAGAGCTGGGTGTGGTAGGGCCCAGGTTCCGGAGGGCCCAGTGCAGCCCTTTCTCTTCTTGACTTGGCAGCCAGCATCTGAACATCAGGCAGAGGCCCCGACGGAGAGTTAAAAATTCCTAGGGCTGGGCCATCTCTGGCCCCACAATCAAAGTGTGTTAGCCAGCCTAGTGCTCTAACATAGGGCACAGTTAGAATGTACAGCGTTTGGCAGTTTTAATGACCTTTGGATGTTAGACTTAATCGTTTATAGTCACATATATGCACGTATACATATGCATGTATCTGTGTGTTAACCAGCTGCACCCCTGGCGGTGATATCAGAACAATAATTTCATCACAAAACCAGTAATAAGCTTCAATAATAGATGTTGATGTTTGAACAGTGAATTTTTTCCTCAGAAAGAATAACATAGGGGCGCCTGGGTGGCTCAGATGGTTAAGCGTCTGCCTTCAGCTCAGGTCAAGATCTCAGAGTCCTGGGATTGAGCCCCATGTCGGGCTCCCTGCTCAGCAGGGAGTCTGCTTCTCCCTCTCCCTCTTCCTCACCACACCACGCCCCCGCCTCTTGTGCCTGTGTGCTCTCTCTCTCTCAAAATGAATACAGTCTTAAAAAAAAGGGGAATAACAAAATGAGAAAAACATGTGAGGGAGATCCAACTGGGTTTATATTTTTACTCAGAAGGAAATCCCTTCAGGAATTACGGATGAAAAGTGCATGATGATGTGAACTGGAGCAGAAGAAAGTGAGTGTTGTGAACGTCAGCGACGGACGTGACAGACACACGCTCATACGGTCTGTGCTTCTTGCAGAGCACGGCAGCAGATGAGGCCTATTTCATAGCGAAGGAGATTCTCGCTACAGAACGAACATACCTGAAGGATTTAGAAGTTCTCACTGTGGTATGAAACCTAAGTCCTTTATTACTTCGTCTTTTTTAATACTTCGTAAATCTAAACCAGAGCTAGAGGATCTCTCCTGAGAAGGAGCTCTTGACCATCATGAGACGTACATGTTTATGGTCTGTTAAATATATTTGCCTTAAAGCATATCTAAGATCAGAATATTTCATCCAATTTTTTTATAAAACTAGAAGTATCCATTTGAAGCTTTTCCCCCAGAATTGTTTTCTTCTATTGTGAAAACGGGTGGTCAGCCGAGAGGATAGCTGTAGCACTGAGTGAGCTGTCCCAGTGGGGACTCTGGGGTCAGTGCTGGGTGTCCTATGGCTACAGACCTTCAGGGGCAAGGTCCCTCGGTCACCCTGACTCTTCCTGCAGTGGTTCCGCAGTGCTGTGGTCAAGGAGGATGCCATGCCTGCAGACCTGATGACCCTGCTCTTCTCCAACATAGACCCCATCTATGAGTTCCACAGAGGCTTCCTGCGTGAGGTGGAGCAGAGGCTGACGCTCTGGTAACAACCTGCATGCACAGGCGGCCCCTACGCTGGACCCCCACGTGGGCAGCTCTACCCTGTCACTATCCCTGTTCTCAGGAACTTCCCAGCTTCAGAAACTAATTCACAAGAACCATTGTTTCATTGAAGTATATTTTTTAAACTTGTGGGAGGAGTAAACCTGTAACAGCCACTTTTATTCATCCTATTCCAGAAGAGAAAATGAAAGAAGTAAGTTAAAAGTAGATGATCCCCCCCCTTTTTTTTTGGCTGATTACCATCTTTTAGAGAATGGTCAAATTATCATTTCTGTCAAATGTGGGCCTTCCACCCCAAGCATCTCATTGCCATTCTGCCTATGACTAGCACAGCCAGTCACACAGGCACCCATCGACATACAGCACACAAGCTTTAACAACATTTTGACCATATTTGTCCATTTCTGCTCCAGGGAAGGGTCTTCCAGCACCCGTGCCACAGGTGGTCATCAACGAATTGGGGACATCCTGCTCAGGAACATGCATCAGTTAAAGGTAGCATGGGTTGGTATGATGACTCCACCCCTAGCAACTGACAGTGCAACCTCAGTGTTGTGCCCAGGACAGCTTTCCCCTCAGGACAGCATCGCCCCCAGGATAGCATTCCCCTCAAAACAGTTTTCTCCTCAGGACACTGTTTCCCTCAGGACAGCATTCCCCTCAGGACTGCATCCCCCTCAGGAGTGCATTCCCTTCAGGACAACATTCCCCTCAGAGCAGTTTTCTCCTCAGGACAGCATTACCCTCAGGACTGCATTCCTTTCAGGACAACATTCCCCTCAGAGCAG